CAGCTCTTTGGCTGGCACTCCGTCTCATCAGGTGCTCCAATGATGCTTGAAATAAGATGATCAAGGCTCTAGGATTCTCTTTTATAGAATAGGATAAAAGAAACGGTAGGACTGAACTCAGTCTGTGGAAGCTCCAGTGTCTGTTTCCCACAGTATCAGGAGAATGAGAGAGTGTGCTGAAGCTGCCTTGGAGACCACCCGTCTTTTCTGTTCTCTTCTAGAAGCACCAACATACTTCCGAGCAACAAATAACTTTATATTTTCCATCTTTTCTAGAAATGGGTTCAATTATGATGGCAGCAATTTCCAGCTCTTTACCAAACTGCTGATTCCTTTTCATCCTGGGCATATAGATCACCTTTCCCAAGATCCCTTGCAATTAACTATGGCCATGCAGCTGTGCAATAAAATTGAATGGATGTGTGCCTTCTCCTGGTCAAGACTTTTAAGAAGCAGTTGTGCCCCTTCCACACATGCTTTTTCTATCTGCRGGGTGTAAATAGTAAAGAGGCTCAGCTAAGGGAGGAGCGAGAAGTGAAAGACAAGGTTCCATGAAATTCTGTGTGGAAGAAARCTGCCCATCAACCAGGAACCCACGGTGGACTGTTATGTGAGTCATTATATATTTTGGGGGTTATGTGGCACTGAAGTCAGGACAACACTAGCTAATGCAACCAGTATATTGTGTTTAATAATATTAAATCTCTTGAATGTTAGAATCCTAAACCTTGCTCTTAGAAAATTCCAAGAACTAGTAGAAAGGGAAAGAAAGCAGGAAGAGATAATTATGTGAATAACTGCGAAGATTTACTACATACATAACCATAGGTTAAGTTATTATKCATACTATCTTATTTGATTTTTATTGTGCCTCACAACAACTTTAGACGATACTAGTATTATTATCTTCTGTTAATCAATGTGGAAACTGAGGCAGAGATGCCGTACTCAGAAAGTGGAGGAGTCATGATTCAAATCTGTTGACTCCATAGCCCATGTTGTGCAGTAACAACCACTGAGTATACTCAACATTTGATTCAATTTTATCTTCACAGCATCTTGTAAATGAGGCCTCCCTATTCCTGTTTTAAAAGTAAGAAAGATGAGGTTGAACAAAAATAAATGGTTTATCCAAGGTTATACAGCTCGAAAGAATCCAACCAAGGTCTGAGCAGCTCTAAGACTCTTTCACCATGGAGGTCAGAATGTAGATACAAGACAGAGGTCATATAGATCTAAATTGCCTTACATTTATGGGTCCAGCTGATCTGGAGTTTGGTCTGCTAGCTCTGGAACAGTTTCACCACGTGTCTGCTTTGGAGACATTAGGGTTTCTGTTAGACAGGGTTGACCAGATTACCTAGCTTGTCAAGGAGAAGACTTTTACACACTGATAATAAACTGGCCAGGCCTAAAATAGTCAACCCATCCTCTGCCCCAGACTAATGATGTGGCAAGTACCACAATGCCCCAGGGTTGGATCAGTAACACTCAGGCTTGAAGGAAGAACTGAAACTGGTTGTATAGAAGGTAATCCTTTCAATGGATGAAGAATTCATGAATAAGAAGAGTTATAAGAGAAACCAGTCCACRAATCTAACTGAGAAACTCTTTAAAGTCAAGGAGGGGTATCAGGAAACTTATTTATGAAAGGACCTCCTGATCCTTACTTAATACTAGGGGAATGAATGTCTGGGCTGAGAGAACATGGAAACTGACTTGAATAGATGAAGAAAAGGAAACTGAAGAACTGGAGAACAGCAACCTTGGTGGCCCATACTTGGCTTTCCACCTGAATGTCCCACTGTCTTATGACATCCCTCCTGGCCTCACCAGAGTTCTGTGGGMATATCAAGGAATCCCTCAAGACACAATGCCATCCCTTCTCCCTCCCAAAAATCTATGGGATGATTAACATATCCAGTGTCTATCTCTAAGGCAGTGGTTGATACTGGAGGCTCACAGTGATACAAGATGGTGGCATTATATAACCTCATGACCCAGACTACAGACCTGAAAAGCCAAGGCCATTTGGRGATCCAAGACCACATCCCCATACTCATTCATTCAGTCAGCAGACATTCGTGGTTGGGGAAAAGCACTAAGGCCCTCAAGGAGCTGGAGTCCTCTGCTATGCAGAGCCAGCTAGGCCTCAGGAGGGGCTGCAGGAAACATTGGAATGCCGTCATGGTACCCAAGGTTAGCACAGCAGCAACCTGGATGGTCCCAGAGTCTCAGGGAAGGCAGGAGGAAAAATATCCCAAAAGAATACACTCTTCCACATGAAGAATCAAATGAATGGGAAAGGGCATAGGAAGGGGATCCCCTCCATCCCCCCATTCCTTCTAGTCATATCCATCCCTTCCATAGATTGTAACCAGTGTCAGTCATTTCTGAATTGATCRCTTGATCCTTCTATGACTTTTAGTGGCTCTTAAGGTTAAGATCAAAATTATTATTGTGGCCTCTAGGATCTTGTAGGAATCTGATTAGTGGAGAGAAAGCTTATTCATCTCTGTGAGGACGGGGTCTGTGATGTGAGAGTTTTGACATTGGTTCTTTACCTGTGACCTCCACTCATCACATTGTGTTGCCCTCCATTCTCTCTGGAATGGCAAGATGGATTATCTTCTGACTGTAAATTCCACAAAGACTAAGTTCATGTCTTTTTACTCACCCTTTTATGTCAGCACTTAGCCTACCTGCCTAACACAGATGGTGTTCAGTCAGTTGGCTGGGTGGGTGCAATGCCGGAACTAAAGAAACAATATTCCAGCAACAAAGTCAGGTGCATACTGAAGCTGATCACTTCTGTGATTGAGCCCTGGCCCCTCTTGTCCCCATGGCTCAGAAGGCCCAGAGAGACAGACTGTAGTTCAGACCAATGTTAAAGCAGAACCAAGTCTCTCTAATTTAAAAGGTCTTTGGAAAGTTGTGGGAAATACATCAACAAACAATTGTAAGGAATGAAATTTCACTGATTATGTAGTCTTAACATGACTCAGAGCAATGCCGCCAACTGTTTTCCAGTTCCCTCCCTTTGGCGGTGATGGTATAACCAAGGGTCAGGAGGTGAGGTAGGTGTCCTGAGGGAAATACTTCTGCCTGCTGCCAGCCAGCACCAGGCAACCCAACAGGTCTTGAAAGGTTTTATGAGTCAGCCTCGGTCAAGTAGCATCAGGTCACAGCCCTATGTGGAGAGAAAGCTTCTCATCTCTGAATATGTGATGTGGCAGTTTTGACTTTGCTTCTTTCCTTAATCATAAGGAATGGGCTTCATGACCTAATTTCACTCAGGATGGATTTGAACATGGCATAACCTGGAGGGCATAAGAAAGGCCCCCAGCCAGATGAGTCATGGTTGGTGAAGACTGACTTAATGCAACCCAAGGTGCTTCAATGCGAATTAAAAAATAATAAAAGTGTTCCCTGAAAATAGAAGGGAAAAAATTACCACCAGATTTAAAGAAGTAGAAAGGTACATGAACTCCGAGCACATGTGAGCTGGACTCGTGTTGGTAACAAGCCCAGGGCTCTAACACACGGTTTGTTTTCTACAAAAATTCATACAAAACATTATGTAGGGTGTTAACCTCTTTTAACTGTAGAATTTAAGGATTAAGTATGAGAGTGATATTGTTTATAGGAAGCAGAGTTTTTGCTTTATTTTCCGGCGCTTATGTGCTATCAACAACATGCGGCCTGCTGTTTGCTTAGATACTTAGTCTGACAGATGAACAACTGTTATTTAAAAGACCTGCCATGGAAACCCTAGATGTTGTGTGATKAATTGTAAGATTTAACACAGATTCAGTGAGTTTTGCTCTTGATTTAGCTCACTCTCTYTACACAGGAGTAGGTGGTTTAATTCCATCACAGGATTTTCACATTTATTATCTTAGGCCCCTGCTGTCTCCTACTTACTAAGAAGTTCTGCTACTTGGAAGAGTCTGTTTTGAATGTTTCCACTTTTTTTAGAGTCAATCTCAATTATCAATTCTCAATTGCCCACCCGCAAAGTTTTTGCATGTTAATAAATAAAAGCCAATTTATTGCAGGGAATGGGATGGTTAAAAAACAAAACCAATATGTTAGAAGAAGGAAGGGAATTGTTTGAAATTATCTAGTAACATGTAGACATCAAACTGTCTACTGAGACATGGGACACCCTAGCAATACCCCCTTTCTAGATTGCCTTATTGTTGCTGAGTAGAAATAAAGCAGAATACAAATACCATGAATCCCAGTAACAAAGACTCAGGCCATCAGTGCACTAAATTCTCACCCAGGCTACTCAGGAGGATCACCCAGAGAGTTTTAAAACCACAGCAGCCAGCCTGGTACAGTGGCCCACATGTGCCATCCAGTTACTCAGGAGGCCAAGGCAGGAGGATTATAAGTTTGAGTCCAGACTGGACAACACAGAAAGACCCTGTCTCAAAATAAAATTTAGAAAAGGACTGGGGATGTAGCTCAGTGCTGAGGTGCTTGCCTAGTATGCAGGAGACCCTGAGTTCAATCCCCAGTACTGCAAACAAGCAAACAAAGAACAGTACTCAACAGCTAGCCCCCCAGAGTTTCAGATTTTAGTCTCCTAGGGTAGGATATCAATACTATTCAGAAAGCTCCCCCATGTGATTCCATTCATAGCTAAGACTGGAAAGTGCCCAACCAGGAAAGGAAGCTTACAGATCAGGAAGGTGAGAGAGCTAGGGAACACAGAGCTGGCATGAAGTCTCCATTCAACTCAGAAACCACAAAGAAGAAACCACCAGAATTTTCCACCAACCAATTTGATAATGTTAAGCCTCCATGAAACTATTGTGCTTATACCATTTCTACACTTCTGGATGATCTCTCTAAATACTAGATGCAATTTTAACTGCTAACCTTGCATTAAATCCATTTCATAATAGCTATATTTTGCATTATTCACAGGCTCTTCTCCTCATCGCCCTGTGGAGTTGAGCAAGGATTCCAGCACAATCACATTCACTTACTTTAATTCCTTGTGATCCATAGCCAGGGGGACCAGGGGGGCCAGGCAAACCTTTCTGCCCAATATCACCCTGTGAGAAAATGGAGAGAAATTGAAAATAAAGTGTAAGAAGATTGAGGGAGAAAAAAATGTAAATATTACTGCTCTCAGCTTCAATTCTTTCTTTAGCCTAATTAGGAGCTTCTTGCTGTCCATAAGCTATTTTATATTTTATTTAAAGCAGTGTTGTTCTAAATATTTTTAGGCTACTCAAATAGTTTGCAAACAAAATCTTACATGTAATCCAAATATAAATAAAGAGGTAAAGGCAGAGCTGATAGGAGTAGACAGAAGGAGAGGCCCTGCTTGGCTCCTCTGCCCCACACCAAATCTGACAACCACTGATGCAGGATTCTGTGGGACCTGTAACATGTTATTCTGCTTCAATATGGCGCTAAAGGTTTAGTGAATGTTGCCGAGATTGCTGAGATTGCTGCTAAAGGTTTAGTGAATGTTGATGTGGGCCCATATTCAACTTTCTACGAAAACATGATACATAAGTAAGTGCAGCATTTCCCAGGGTGTATTCATAAGATGACCCCATGTTTATTGAGGAAAGACTTTAATGGTGGAGTCAGATTGGAAAACACTATGTGCCTCCACATGGAAATCTCCAGTGCCCATTAATACAGTCATGCAGCCCTTAAGGATGGGGATATGATCTGACAAATGCATAGTGACTGTTTCTTGTACAAACATCACAATGTACTTATACAAACTAAGATGGCTATGACATCACTAGGCATTACACCTACCCTCATATGTGCAGTATGGTCTGGACCAAAAGGTTGTTATATGGCACATATATGAAAGGTTCAAAGAAGTCGCCTAATAGGGATTATCTTTGTTTATCTCAGAAGCTCCTATATTAACATTGAATAGAACAAACTCTGAGAAATTGTGGGTTAATATACATTACCATATAATGTTTATTTTATTTGATTACTTCCTCATTGCAAAACTATTTAAGACCAGAAATGAAGATGACAATAAGAAGATAAGTGGATCCATACTCTCATCACCCAGTGATATAATGATTTTTAACATCTGGGGGTGGGGGATGGTAGGGGATCTTTATMTATAAAGTGATCTATTAGGGCTCAAAAATAGCTTGCTGCCACATGGACAAATAAGGGATAAATTGCAATCCTGGTAATTCTGGGATTCTCAGTAAAATCTTTGACTCAGGGAGTCTTTTCTTCTGATCATGGGGTTCAGATTCACTCTGTGTATTTTGGATGTGCGTACATCTATTTGAAATTTGAATCTATGATGACAGTTCATTCATACCTATTTTCCCTATGAACATGTCTGATACTTCTTACCTCATTTTTTGAACAAATCAAAAATATTTCCTAAATAAATGAATAAACAAAACCTAAATAAATGAATAAACAAAACTCAGCACTATTGACATTTTGAATCAGATGATTATTATAAAAGCCACCCTGTTCATTGTAGAATATTTAGCAGTGTTCTTGGGCCCTACCCACTAAATTCTAGTAGCACCCTAAGCTATGACAGCCCAGAATGTCCTTCTGGAGGTCAGGGGGAAGGACAAAATCTCCCTCACTGAGAAATACTGGATTAAAAGAATAAAAGGATGAATAATCATAAAACTGGAGGAAAAAAAGAAGGAGACATAAAAATAAAGGCAAAGGGGACAAAGGAAGTTCTCGCCTTCTATGGGGACAATAAATCTAGATCCATGCACCCAGGCTCTGCCCAAGCGAATGTGGCATATGACACAGTAGATACATGAGGCCCTGAGTGACCTGCTGAAAGGCCACCTAAAGCACCTCTGGCCAAAGCAAAGACATGCTTCTTGATGACAGCACAGCCTATACGAAACCTAGAAATGTTCTGAGCTCTTGSCAACTACTTAAGGGAGGCTGCTTTCTAATTTCTTTTTAGGAAGCATGTGGATTTATAAATTTAAATGGTCCACTTTACTGAAAGTTTATATGATGTGAAAAAATAAGACTTTTCATAGGTAATCAAGGAAAGAATAAGTCAACACCAACACAAACACTTACTCTGAAGTTGCTGTTCACTTGTTTGGCACTGATTGCACAGGTACAGGGTGGGTATCCCTTATCTGAAATGCTTGGGACCAGAAGTGTTTCAGATTTTGAAATTTTTCAGATCTTTTTACATATATATACTGAGACCTTTTGTGTATGGTATCCAAATATAAGTACAAAACTCATTTATGTTTAATTCGCACTTTATACATATAGCTGGGCATAATTTTAGGCCAAGGTTTTGACTGCCTCACATCACATGAGGTCAGGTGTTGAATTATCCTGTTGGTGTTCAAAAGTTTTGGAAGTTGGAGCACTTCAGATTCTTGACWTTTTAGATTTTTAGGGATGCTCAACCTGCATCTGACTCTCACATAGAGCACAGACCTGAGAACTCACCTTTGGCCCTTGAGTTCCTATTCCCCGAGGCCCGACAGGACCTGGAGGGCCTCTAACTCCAGGCTCTCCCTGAAAAGACAAAATGAATGGTAAGTTATTGGTTTAAAAAATGTTTAGGGTATATCTCATGTTAAATATGCATTTTCAAAAATATATTTAAACATTTTTATAAACACCCAAATTTCACTAAGATATTGAGCCCATTTCTCCTAAATTGCTTTCCTATTTTGACTCTATGTGTTATCTCCTTTTGTTTAATTTCTCTTTTGTTCCACATTTTTTATTGGTGCATTATGGTTGTACATACTGATAGGATTTGTTGTTACACAGTTATACATGCACAAAACATAATAATATAACTTGGTCAATATCACTCCCTAGCACACATCCCCCCATTTTCCCTTTGGTCCCTTTCCTTTACTGATCCCTTTGATTTTCATGAGATCCACCCCCATCTTTCTTTTCCTTTTCCTATCTAGCTTTCGCATATGAGAAGAAACATACGACCCTTGACTTTCTGAGTTTGACTTCTTTTTCTTAATATAATGATCTCTAGTTCCATCTGTTTTCCTGCAAATGACATAATTTCACTTTTTTTGGCTGAATAAAACTCCATGTGTATGTATATATCACATTTTCTTCATCCATTGTCCATTGATGGATACCTAGGCTGATTCCATAGTTTGTCTATTGTGGAATCGTGCTGCTGTAAACATGGGTATGCATGTATCACTATTAGAATGATGACTTCAATTCTTCAGGTTAAAGGCTGAGGAGTGGTATAGCTGGGTTATGGTGATTCCATGCTTAGTCTTTTCAGAAAACTCCATACTGACTTCCATAGTGGTTATACTAATTTACAATCTCACCAACAACACAAAATTGTTTCTTTTCCTCTATATCCYCTCCAGCATTTAGTATTTGTATTCTTGATGACTGACATTCTGACTGGAGTGAGATGAAATCTCAGCATAGTTTTGATTTGCATTTTCCTAATTGCTAATGGTGTTGAGCATTTTCTCATATATTTGTTGGCCATTTGTATTTCTTCTTTTGAGAAGTGTGTGTTTAATTCATTTGTCCATTATTCATTGGGTTATTTGATTTGTGATGTGCATTTTTTTTTGAGTTTTTAATATATTTTAGATAGTAATCCTCTGTCAGAAAAGTAGCTAGCAAAAATTTTCTCCCATTCTGTAGATTCCATCTTCCCATTTTTAATTGCTTCCTTTGCTGTGCAAAAGCTTTTTAATTGGATGCTATCTCATTTATTAACTCTTGGCATTATTTACTGAGCTTCAGGGGTCCTATTGAGAAAGTCATTGCCTGTGCCTATATGCTGGAGTGTTGACCCTACATTTCCTTCCAGGAGTTACATAGTTTCTGGTCTAATTCCTAGATGTTTAATCCATTTTGAGTTGATTTTTGTGCAGGGTGAGATATAAGAGTCTACTTTTATTTTTCTATATATGGATAACCAGCTTTCCCAGAACCATGTGTTAAAAAGGCTGCCTTTTGAGAGGCCCAGGTCCATCCCACCACTGGCAGACACACACTGGAGCTCAGGCTCTGGCACAGAACCACAACTTCTGATCAGCAGACCACTGCCAGAGCCCAGGTCTGGCCCAGATCCGCCTACACCGACATATTGGAGACCCAGGACCAGGGTAGGTYTGAGTCCGCCACCCTCTCCCCCRTACCTGGGAGCCCAAGCCTAACCTACTTCCATCTTGGGACACTGCAGACATTGCCATAGCCTTCCCCACACAGTTKCCCCTACCTTTTGACATCAGACAGGGCCTAGAAACAGCTGCATCTCAGAGCAGGCATCCCAAAGACAGTGTAAGGCCCACCCTTTCAGCCCCATCTCTGTAAGATGTTGGATCCATCTCGGGGCGTCTCCACTATTATCTGGAGCTACCTCTGCTATTGCTGCCACCACATTTAGTTACAGTAGCATACATTGAGGGACACCAGCAAGGTCTGGAAGCCCAAYATCAAGGTGAGATACAGACAATCTGCACAGATACTACAAGATATAGGGTGTAAACTGTAATATCTCAGATCCACACTGCAAGAAAGGCAGACACATAGACAACATGAAAAAACAAGGGAGGAAATTGCCCCCCCCCCAAAAAAAAGGATACTATAATAACAGAACCATGGACAGTGAAGTTGATGACATGTTAGAGAAGGAGTTCAGAAGGTTCATAATCAAAATGATCTGTGAATTAAAAAATGACCTAAATGAGCAAATACAGACAAAAATTGGTCACTCCAACAAAGAGATAAGAGAGCAAATACAGGTAGCAAAGGATGACTACAAGAAATAGATAGACTCTGAAAAAAAAAGCCAGAAATCCTTGAAATGAAGGAAAAAATAAACCAAATAAAAAACTCAATAGAAAGCATAACCAACAGACAAGCTCACTTGGAAGAAAGAAAGTCAGATAATGAAGACAAAGTRTACAATCTGGAAAATAAAGTTGACCACACAGTGAACAAAGTAAGAAATGATGAATGGAACATCCAAGAATTATGGGACAGTATCGAAAAGCCAAATCTAAGAGTTATTGGGCTAGACAAAAGCACAGAGTTTCAAACCAAAGGAATGTACAATCTCTTCAATGAGATAATATCAGAAAATTTCCAAAGCATGAAGAATGAATTGGAAAACCAAAAACAAGAGGCTTACAGGACACCAAATGTACAAAATTACAACATATCTACACCAAGGCACATTACAATGAAAATGCCTAGCACACAGAAGAAGGATAGAATCTTAAAAGCTGCAAGAGGAATTGGATCACATATAGGGGGAGACCAATTTATATTTYAGCAGATTTTCAACCAGACCCTCAAAACCAGGAGATCATGGAACAACAAATATCAAGCTCTGAAAGAAAATGGATGCCAACCAAGAATCTTATATTCAGCAAAACTAAGTTTTAGATTTGATGATTAACTAAAAACCTTCCATGATAAACAAAAGTTAAAAGAATTTACAACTAGAAAGCCTGCACTACAGAACATTCTAAGCAAAATATTCCATTAAAAAGAAATTAAAAAACAACAATGAAAATCAGCAGAGGGAGGTATTACATTAAAGGAAAAACTATTCAGAAGAGAAATCAAGCCAAGTTCAATACCAAAAATAAACAAAAATGTCTAGAAATACAAATCATGTTTCAATAATGAATGTTAATAGCATAACTCACCAATCAAAAGACATAGGCTAACAGATTGGATTTTAAAAAAGACCCAACAATATCCTTCCTCCAAAAGACTCATCTCATAGGAAAAGACATTCACAGACTGAAGGTGAAAGGTTGGGAAAAATCATAACACTCACATGGGCTGTGGAAGCAAGCAGAGGTCTCCATCCTCATATTAAATAAAGTAGACTTTAACCTAAAGTTAATCAAAAGGAATAAAGAAGGACACTACATACTGCTCAAGGGAACCATACACTAACAAGACTTAACAATTATAAATATATGTGCTCCAAACAATGGAGCATCTACGTTCATCAAGCAAACTCTTCTCAAGTTCAAAAGTCAAATAGACCACAACACAATAATTTTGGGTGACTTTAACACACCTTTTTCACCACTGGATAGATCTTCCAAACAAAAGCTGAACAAAAAAACTATAAAAATCAATAATATAATCAATAACTTAGACTTAACTGACATATATAGAATATTTCATCCTTCAACAAGTGAATACACTTTCTACTCAGTAGCACATGGATAATTCTCTAAAATAGACCATATACTATGCCACAAAGCAACCCTTAACAAATATAAAAAAGTAGAGATACTACCCTACATTCTATCATATCATAATGGAATGAAATTATAAATCAATGAAAAAATAAAAATAAAGGCTACTTCAACACCTAGAGACTAAATAATATGCTACTGAATGAACAATAGGTTGCAGAAGACATCAAGGAGGAGATGAAAAAATTTTTAGAGGTGAATGAGAACACAGATGCAACATATCRAAATCACTGGAACACTATMAAGGCAGTTCTAAGAGGAAAGTTCATTGCATGGAGTTTATTCCTTAAAAGAAGAAAAAGTCAACAAATAAATGGCTTAACATTACATTTCAAAAACTAGAAAAAGAAGAACAAATCAACACCAAAAGCAGAAGACAGAAAAATAATTAAAATCAGAGCTGAAATCAATGAAATTGAAACAAAAGAAACAATTGAAAAAATTGACAAAGCAAAAAATTGGTTCTTTGAAAAAATAAATAAAATTGACAGCCCYTTAGCCATGCTAATGAAGAGAAGGAGAGAGAAAACTCAAATCACTAATGTACTTGATGAAAAAGGAAATATCACAACAGAGACTACAGAAATATAGAAGATAATTACAAATTATTTTGAAAACTTATACTCCAATAAAATAGAGAATATCAAATGCATCGACAAATCACTAGAGTCATATGATTTGCCCAAACTGAATCAGGATTTTCTACACAATTTAAACAGATCAATTTCAAGCAATGAAATAGAAGATACCATCAGAAAACTACCAACCAAGAAAAACCCAAGACTGGATGGATACACAGCCGAGCTCTAAAAGACCTTTAAAGAAGAACTAATACCAATACTCTTCAATTTATTTCAGGAAATGGAAAAAGGGAGCACTTCCAAACCCTTTCCATGAGCCAATATCACCCTGATTCCAAAATCAAAGGCACATCAAAGAAAGAAAACATCAGACCAATATCACTAATGAACATAGATGCAAAAAATTCTCAATTAAATTCTGGCAAATTGAATACAAAACATATCAAAAAGATAGTGCACCACTACCAAGTGTGGTTCTTCCCAGGGATGCAAGGTTGGTTCAACATACAGAAATGAATAATGTAATTCATCACATCAATAGACTTAAAGATAAGAACCGTATGATCATCTCAACAGATGCAGAAAAAGCATTTAACAAAATACAGYACCCCTTCATGTTCGAAAAACTAGGGATAACAGGAACATATCTCAACATTATAAAAGTTATCTATGCTAAGCCCCAGGCTAACATCAATCTAAATGG